GATTCTGTTCATCTGGACGTCGCGTTTTCAGCGGGAGAAACGCAAATTGTCACGACCTGGATGACTGAGCATGTATCAAGACATACTGACTATGATTTGAACCAAAAATGTCACATTATTCTGTCCATCAGACCTGTTGTCACTGATTTTCAGTCCAGTTCTTGTGTAGTTTAGCATACTCAGCCTTTTCTCTTTCTTTAGAATAGCTTTTTGAGACCATTTCTGATGATGCTGCAGTGAGCAGTGGATGGATCAACCAGCTGCATCTCTAAGTCAGTGTCAGGTCTTGGATTTTTTCTTATTTCTTTGGGCATGAATGCTTCTGCTAGGAACAAGGATTTCATCAAGTTAGGTGGTTGAGTTAGTAATGCTTGAATAACTGATAAGTCAGTGTTAACAGGCTTACAACAAAGGACAAAAAATAAAAAAAACACACATACAATATTTCTCTGAAAATGGTCAGGTACAAAGACTGGACTGAAAATGAGTGAAAAAGCAGCCAATGCCCAAAGAGAAACTAGGGCGGACCTTCAGAAAGCCTGAAGAATATTGGTCAAGACCAGGAAATGACAGTGAAGTCTGAGTCGTCTCCTTGTTCTTCCTAAGCAGACTCTTTTCTGTGCATCAGCTTGTTCTGGAGTTCGTCTGCCCTCCAGTAGAAAAACTTTCCATGCCTGTTTGTTTAACCGACACTGTAGAGCCTTACTGTATTGAACCTAGATTTCTTTTTCTAATAGGGAATAATACTGTCCTCTGTGGCAGCTACGCAGTTTATGAATAAACTGTTAACTGGGAGGAGCTGCAATAAGTCAGACAACAGGTTCAGGCTGTGCAGAGACAGGCCTGCCTCATTACACCAGCACTATTGACTCATTAGGGTGAGGGTTTCCTCTGCAGTTACAAGGCAGCAGTGGACCATCACAGCCATATAGCCACTTCTGCTAATGAGCAAGCTGTCAGATATGGAAAAGAACATGGCTTGAGACGAGTTTGTGTTTAAACAAAACTGAAAAATAGTCTCTTGTTTTGAGGGAAAATGATTTATTTTAACAAGCAACGCCTAAATATTTTAACTGACTCAACTTCAGCTGAAACGTAAAACTAAAAACAGGTAAGATGGACAATTAACTTTTTTTTTTTTAAAGATGCAGGAAACCATTTCATTTACTATTAAACTGACACGATCGTTTTTAATGACTTGTGTTATTGCCTTTTGTTTTTCTCAGTCAGATTTTCTGCAGTCATGAGCATTACTCTTACATCCCAAACCTCTAACCCAGACAGTAAGTAGTGTCCGGCCCCTCAGGTCCCAAGCACAGGTAGTCATTTCAACTACCTGTGCTTGGGACCTCAAAATACTAAAAATCTGCTGTCATAGCAGATGTTTGAAATTCTGACATTATTTAAAAGGGAAGCATTCAATTAAATGAGCCGTGGAATGGTCCATGTGAACATCTTAAGTGGCCTCTGACTCCATAACACCATACCATAGTTTATTTA